ATTATTTTGAAAATAGATATGACCAGGTTGTATACAAGATGTCGAACTGGTCATTCAAGGCTCACTCATTCATAAGCTAATTTTAATGTATGCAAGGGTTTCTTGAGTGTAAAACATACTTTAATAGAATTTCCATTTTTAAATGATATTAGACAACGTTTTTATTCAGAAAATATATTAATGTACATTTTTTAAAAAGGTTCCACCTGGAATATTGTTTATTATTTTTTTGTTGTTGTTATTTTTACTGTTATTATTATTTTATGTATATATGTATATTTTGGTATGTTGGCTGTGTTTGTTTAACTATTGTAAACAATGTATTGAAATGATATTGTAATCATAATACTGTTTATTTCACCATGAATATAGCTATTGGTGCTGATATGGCATTAAATCATACATAAATTCTTTCTTCATTGTTTCTTCATGATAAATCATTATCATATCAGCAAAATCCAATATCAATCAACTTCTAATTTGTTGTATTGATCCAGTTTTTCAATATATTGATTAAAACATGTCTTGAATATGTTGCAGTTGAATGTGTGCTGCAGCCTGTTTATTTATATTATTCCATGTACACTTTCTCATCTGTTTTCTCACTTTCTGTTATATTTTGTTTTTGTGGTGCTGTTTGTTCAGTTCAAATTGGCTATTTCTAATAAAAGCAGTGCCATTTAGGTCTGGGCAAATGGTGACTTACACAAATGTCAAGAGGTTAGAGGTCATTACCGTGTTGTGGGCAAAGGGTCAAAGAGGAAGTGACAGGTGGATCTTGGACATACCTCTATTTGAGGAAGACTCTCTCAAGACTCAGGCGCTTCCGTACTGACCACAGGACATGAAAACAGCCACTGCAGAATGCTCATTCCTGTCTAGACAAGGTTGTTTTTTGATTGTGTTATTGGCTGACTCTTGATTTCATAATGCAATATGTTTCCAGAACAGTGCTCTCTCTATGAATCTGTGAATCAAAGCATTCACAGACCAAAGTGATGAAAGAGGGCACTCATGATTTCTGGCATTTCAGTTATAGATCTGAATGAAACCTGGATGTGTGATTGCAGTTTTGAAACACAAAAAGATGCATGATGTTAATTCATATCTTATGTCCTTTATGCATTTTATTTCATAGTTTGAAAAGTATAAGTGTAGCACAAGGTCAGAATTTACACTCTCCAAGCCTTCAGCAAGTTAGTTTGCCTTTAACTTAACGAGAACGGCAATATTTCATGGTTTAAATCTGGCATTTGTGGATGTAAGTTGCTTGTGCTACTGGAAAACATACAGATCAGCTTGGTTTTATGTGCCTTATGACAATTTACTTCTGTGTGTATTTTACCATCAGGGGGCCAGATTCATAAAAATCCTTTAAAAATAAATTCTAAAACTTCTAAGTGCACTTCTTAAAAAATGTAAGGAAGTTCTCTATTATTTTCTTTAGGAACATCTTTTGTTAAGATGAAAATGACAGGCTTTGGTGTTGTCTGATTGTATGGCGGTTTTGGCCGAAGATCAACTTGATAAACAGTCTGCAGTTTACGTAATAATAAAAAATGGCATGCAAACAATTTTTGTCACAAATGGCTTGACGGGAGTTCAGCCTGTTTAAAGGGTTAGTTCACCCAAAAATAAAAATACAGTCATTAATTACTCACCCTCATGTCGTTTCAAACTCGTAAGACCTTCGTTCATCTTCAGAACACAAATTAAGATATTTTTGATGGAATCTGAGAGCTGTCTGACCCTGCATAGACAGCAGCGCAACTGAAATGTTCCCAAGTCCAGAAACGTAGCAAGGAGATC